TTATAGTGAATTAGCGGGTATAGTGACTATCTTGGTGTCTAGTAGGCCCAGAACGAAACGCTCCCCTTTCCTTTAGTCTTTCTATCTTCTACCTTGCTTACCATTTCTCCGTACAGTAAGTCGCCACAAATCCCTTGGTGTACGATTTAATTACGAGTAGCTTTTCAAATGTATCCTATTTAATTTTGTTTAAACTCGTTCATAGATGCCTACGAAAAAGAGTCATTTCACGTGTACCTTGAGAATACGAAAATGTGTTGATTTTAATATACGAGACATCGCGTCAAGTTCGTGTGGTAATTACTAGCAAGCAATACTTTGTCACAAGACTCTAAAAACGTATATGATCCGTCATCGTGCAAAAAAGATTAAAATCGAAGACAATTTTGGATCTCTCCACGTCGGGGTAGGGGGTGTGACAGTCGTCCAGTCGCGAATCCCCCGAACACGCGATGAAAAAAACAAGCAACGTCGTATTTATGGCGACGAGAGTCAACACCACGTCCCCGCGACGGGTCCCGTCCCCCGGGTGGGTCCGTCGAGACGACAGGAGGGGCCCGGTCGCCAAATATGGCCCCAGGCCCCGGTCCCGGGGTGTATCTTAATCCCCTGATCGCGGTCATGCGAATTGTCTCATTTAAAGCTGGCGTGCGTGCCGTCCCTTCCGCGAGGGGCTAATAAAGTCGTTGAGCGACAGGGGCCAACCCTGGCTACGTGCTCGAAGCGGACGTGTCGCGATTAGATGGCCTTGAGAGATGAAGTAGAAGACGAGGTCAGGCCCTGCGCGCTCGAAGGGCGACCGAGATCCCTCGCGGATAGACGAAAACGCGCGGTGAATCTGAAATCACGCGCGACGGGCCCCCCGTGTCTCTCTCTCTCTCTCTCTCTCTCTCTCTCTCTCTATTCCCCCACCTTGCCGCGGTCCCAACGAGGAGAGGCCCCCTGTTCGGAAAGCGAAGGTGATTCCGCAGAAAGGATCGAGAGGCGGCGACGTTGCATCCCGGGGCTGATAATCGGAAGTCGGCCATGTATTTCATTAGGCGGTGCACCGCGCCGCGGATCGACATCAGCGGTATTTTTAGAGACGTTCTCAATGCAATCGCGCCGCGTTCTAGGCGGGGACGATTTAACGCGTAATTACGGATTCATGGAAACTCGAGGAACGCGCCGCGCGACTTTTGCTCCGATGCACTTTTTCTCGTTGATCGAAACGATCGACACGGACTTAAGAATAACACCCCTAGTACCGGACGCTTAAGGTTTTTATTTAAATCATTAAGAAAATATAGTAATTTAACATTATTAGAAATCAATATAAAGCAACGAAACAAATAATATTATTATAATAGTTAACTGAAACTTTGGTATAGAATTTGAACAGATCATTAGGTGTCCCCTGAGTCCAGAAAGTAACTGATAACAGTTTCAATGTAATTTACTATTTACTCAGAAAATATCGCGTTAAAAAATGTTTCGATTGACAGTATGACTTCGAAAGAGTCTAAGCTAATTGCTGTGATCAGAAAATGATAGAAGGAAAAAATACAGCAATGTTATAATATTTCTATATTTAATTTCCACATTTTCAGTTGCACTCTCTACTCTGACACTAGCAAACTCTTCGATTCTTCGATTTTCAATGTATTTGTCCCATTATTAGATACATTTTCAATCCTCAGAATGTTTCCTAACTTCTCACCTCCCTTTTCGACGTCTGGTGTTTCAACAGTTTCTCGTTGCAAGCTTGCATATGCAACAGATTGTTTCACTTCCTTGTGTCTATTTTTCTATCTCCTGCGATCTTTCGTCTACATGTTTTCGTACGAGGATATTGTACCACTTCCTGTTTTTCTTTTATAACAAGAGCCACAAAATAGGCAAAAAGTGTCCAGTTAATTGCCATGTTCTATCCAATTAATTCAATTGATATAATTATGTTTATTCATCTAACGTGAGACACGAAAGATCGTCACTTGTTACGCAAGACACTCCTATTATTATTCGTATCTCTGTATGTACTGTTCTTCGCTGTCGCAATTGCAGATGCTGTTATGGCAATGTTGCAAATAACATAGTCAACGAGATGACGTTTGATCGCGCATTTCATTCGAGCAATACACGGAAATCGTCACTTCGATGAACTATTCGAACCTATGACTAGACATACTTCAATAGTTTAATATTTATCTCTTTCATATCGTTCTTTCATGGTTGAAATTAGATCAATAACAGTACAGGGTGTTCGACCATCCCTGGGAAAAATTTTAATGGGAGATTCTAGAGGCCAAAGTAAAACGAAAATCAAGAATATCAATTTGTTGATGGAGACTTCGCTAAAAAGTTAATAACATTTAAAGTTCCACCAATACTGAATTTTTTTCTCGAAACTGGTTAAGAATTCGAAGGTATATCCATTCACCAAAAATGATTGTAATTGACCCCCGCAACAGAAAATAATTTTTCCAGAACGATTTGCAAATTTTTTTTTTGGCCAAAAATTTCACATTTTCTCGAATTTTTTTCTAGAAAGTAGGTAGATTTTCAGGGGTATGTCTATTCACCAAAAATTATTGTAATTGACTCCCGCAACTGAAAATAATTTTTCCAAAACGATTTGAAATTTTTCTTTTTCGTCGAAAATTTCACACTTTCTCGAATTTTTTTCTAGAAAGTGGGTAGGAATTCAGGGGTATGTCTAGTCACCAAAATTGATTGTAATTGACCCCCACAACAGAAAATAATTTTTCCAGAACGATTTGAAAATTTTTTTTTTTGGCCAAAAATTTCATACTTTCTCGAATTTTTTTCTCGAAAGTGGGTAGGATTTCGTGGGTATGTCTATTCACTAAAAATGATTGTAATTGATCCCTGCAGCAGAAAATAATTTTTCTAGAACGATTTGAAATTTTTGAATTTAATTGTTAATAACTTTTTAACGAAGCCTCCATCAACAAATTGGTATTCTTGATTTTCGTCTTATTTTGACCTCTAAGTGGTGATCAAACACCCTGTATATAGTTGCACCTTGTCCTTGTATCGTAAACGTATAGTTATCCGTATGTATATTTATTATTTGTTTACTGGATACTTGATTTCGTATTATTTACAACTTTGGTGTAATAAATACGGTAGTATTGTTATCATACTCTTACGTATGACCAAATATTGCTTTACACACGTCCGAGAAACCAGTTACGCAACAGTTTCCTTGATTATTTCTTTGCCTGGAATATCGATTTCGAATTCATTACCAACGAGGAAAAACAACGTTGAAGATTCCTATAATTTTTCATGTTCAAGAGATGAAATAATGCACGTGATTCATTGGATTTTTTTACAAAGTTCCACAATACTCTATCGAGGACGAATCCATTAAAGTGTTTTTGTAAACAATGGCCTGCCTAATTTTCTCCATTAAACGTACGAGACCAGAGTGAAAAGTTAGCCAAACCGTGCAACGAGATCGTATAAGGTGCGTTTAGATTACAACGTCTAAATTCTACAAACGTCATGCTCGGAATTCGAGATTATAGCTTTGCATGACGCTTTACGAAACATGGGGTAAAATAAGAAACTACGTGGTAGCTTATCGCACGATCACGAAGTCATTCTCACCGTTTCGCACCGTCATCGTCATCCTGGCAACTGTCAATAGACCGTTTGCACGTATCTCGAATGTCTCATCGGGTTGCATGACGACAATGGAGACCATTATCACCCGTCGCGTTCATCCTAATCATCCTCGAACGACACGGCCGCCTTTGTCGTCGCGCACCTACGCGAGAAACAGTCGCATCTGGCGATCGTTCTCGCTGCGATCGCTGAAAAATCGAATTCATTAGCGGTCGAAACTCAAAGGGAGCTGCCAGTCGGAACAATATCGCGATCGAAAGCAAAAGTACCCTCGGAATGATGCATCAAACAATTCCAGAGACTCTCTCACCAATTATACCACACGAAACATCACAATCTTTAACGTTTCTAATATTAAAAAGTCACTTGAGAAGCATTATATAGTGCTGTGCATAATTAAAGTCCCACCAAATTTCTTTAATATTTCGGACTTCTGAGTTGTAGTGCAGGAAAATTGACTATATAAAAGCTCAAAGAGTCTGATAAATGATGACTTTCATGTAAATATCAGCAAAGTTGCTCTTATATAAAACGTTAGCACCACCAACAGCTGAGAATTGCTTTATTAGCAACCTAACTCTTTGTGCAGATGTAACTTCAGTAATAATTACATGAAAATCATTGTTCAACATACTTTTGAGACTTGTACAATTAACTTCCTTGCATTCCAACTGAAAAGTCCAATAAAGTAACAAATCTGTGCACCTCACTTGATGCTTCCTTGAAACGCAGAGAAAGATGTCCGAATGAATTTCGAAGGCATATTTCCCGAAGAAAGTCGAATAAAATTCTCACAGAGAGGCGTCCGCTAGATAGATCTCCGTCGCTAGGAAACCGCAATCGTTTTCTCCAAACAATGTTCTTTTAAAACACGTCGCCGGATCCCGACGGGCAGGCAAGAAGCTTTAGCGTCGGTCACCGATCACCGCCTCGGTGGAACGTATTCCGATAGCTTCTTAAGATATTCTTTCGCGAGGAAATTGCTGTTCCGAGCGAGTCCGGTAGTGGTGGCAAAACGCGAAACAAAGCATCGACCGGGGACTTGTGCCTGTACTTTTACTTACGACCGCAACTGGCATTATCCCGGTTCGACTCTAAATCGCCAATAGAATCGATTTCTCTAACCGCAGCGAGGACGACCGCAAATAGACCGACGCCTCGGCGTTCGCTCGTCTGGATATATAAGAGTATACACGCTTACAAGCTTCCCGCAACGAACGTTGAAAAACGAGCCCGCGAGTTCGATAAAAAGAAACCGTCGTTCCTATCGCGGGAATACGGAAAAAGAAACGACATCGTAAATCTCGATACCCGACGACCAGAGGTGATGTTCAGGTACTAAGAGCACAGCTTTGCTTGGCTTACAGGTCGGTGATCGGGGTCTCGAGCGGTGTGATCGAAAGAGAAAGAAGGCGAGGGGAGATAGGAGAGATAAAGGAAAAGGGTGGAAGCATTTAGAGGCCAGGGTTGAAAGGCAAACGCAATTGGGTTGGGGTGTAGCGAGGTAAAGAGAGAAACGAGGGAAGAAAAAAGGGGGAAAACGGTTGGTGAGTTCCGGCTGTGTGTTATGGTTGGGAGCAAAAGGCTGGGAAGATGCTCGAGGTTCAGCGCTCGGACTTTTTAAGAGAGGGAGAAGCCTGCAACCCTCCTACCGACGATTTACTACCCCCCGATACGTCCGGGGCTTCCGTCTCCGGGTGGAAGCCCGCCGAGAGAACCGTCTCCTTCAATCGAGACGTCCACGTCAAGAGGATCGGTGAGTCCAGGCAATCACACCATATGAACAAAACGAAATGGTAGAACGCTCACGGGACCAGCCTGAATAACGTTGCTTGACTCTCGCTGTTCGTTCGCGTCCTTTGGACGATACTTGAACACGTTTACTGTCATGGCGGTCACTTTAATTTTAATACTTGCTAAAATTGTAAATACCGTCGTTGAGAATGTTTTGGAATAACGTAGAAGACAATTGCAGATATGGGAAACTGACATGGCAGTCAACGTGTTAACATCTCGCTTTAAATTATATATTGGTATTGAATTTTTAGCTTAATCTTGAATTTTTAATTTTATTATACTTTTTTCCTTTTTTTTGAACAAGAACATCCGGAAATATTTCGTTATTTGTATACAATAATTCCAGAGAAGTTTACAGAATTTTAACATTGTTATCAAATGCAGTTTATTGAACTCTATCAAAAATTCTGCAGAAAGTATTAACATTCATAAATTCCAACTTTGAATCGATACTATCGATAATTTTAGACAAAAATGTAATTGTAACAGTGAAATTATTAACAAGATTATGTAATTCGTGATAGCAAAGTTTTCCTCGAAAAATTTAATGTTATTTATTTTTCTCCGATTAATTTCAATAAATCTGATAATTTTATAAACACATCTTTTATCATTCTTTCGAGTTGCATCAGGATAGATTAAACTAACGCAGGTTGACTCGCGACGAATTTGTAGTATTTTCGAATTTTCGAGAATTCAATGGGAACAAAGAAACGAGTAATCATACTTCGGTCAAACCGGCGACCTCGAGCGAGGAGAAAACGCGAGATTACGAGAACGATTGCAACGAGGACACCGGGGTCTTGCGTTTCAGAAAAAATACGGTCCAGGTCCTAGAGCGATCTCAGATTATGGAAATTATTTGTGCAGGGCCGCTAGTTTCGCGGCTGAGGATCTCGTGCTGTCAGATGTTTCTGAGAAACGCGCGGCTCCAGAAAAATTATCGTCCAGTTGGATCAACTTTGCAACCTAGCAAACTTTGAACGTTCAGTAAATTTCCAAACAATTTATGTTTGTAAATTTAAATAAAAATTGAAATCTAAATTGAAACTACTGCTATCACGAAATTACAGAAATTTATCAGTGCGTCGATAATATCTTCTTTTGTTGAAATATTAGTAAACTTCATCCCCGATTGCAGAGAATTCAATCAAATTATTTGAAATGTTCTGGACAGCACGAATTCATCGAATACGAAAACATTAAAATCGGACATTAAAACAAGTTATTGCTATCACGAAGTTGCATTTAATTTTGAAATATTTGAGAAGTCGAGCAATGGTATATTGGCTCGTAATGTGTTCCGCTTAACTTCTATCTAACTGTATCAAGCTCGAGCTCTCGATATCGATGTGTAACACATTTAATCAAGACCCAGCCGCTGACTAACGGCACGAATAATCGTTGCGTCCCGTGATCGATCCGATCGGTCATCTCCCCGTGTGTGTAATCATTAATACAATTAATTGTGGTCCGTTTAATATCCGCTGATCTCGTAACAATAACTCGTATTGCGCGCGGCCCGAGACGACGATAGTATCGACGGCTTCGAGCTCTCGAAGTCCTCGAGACGTTTCGATCGTGCTCGAGCCGGCCTTAAATTTCGTCGCATTTTAATCGTTCTCATCGTGCTCTTTTTAATCTGATATGTGGGCTCGTAACGGTATTGGTGTGTGCGTGCTGGACTCAACCATTCCTTTGTTGCCGCTATCTTAATTATTAATTACATTCATCGTCCTTTTCTCGTTCTTATCGAGCGCGTCGCGTGAATCGGCGCAGACCGATTCGCGCACCCTCGAACTGCGCGTGCGCGCGTGTGTGTGTCTCACCGTGATCAGAGATGGTCAAAATTCTTATTCGTATAGAAATTTCAAACAACAAATGAAAATATAAACGAACTCTTGGAAATAAATTCTTCTAAGACGATTTATTTCGTCGTCTATCGTTCGAGTAACATTCTGCCCGTCTCTGACCATAATCACGGTGATCTGCTTGGCGTAACCTAACACGTGTGTTAAGCATCGAGCATGTCTGACTAACGAGGGCCCCAGACTACTCGACAGATTCGTAGAATTCTGAAACTTTGCCAAATTCTTCATTCTTGAGTATGTCACTCTGACCAAAAGACACAAGTTAAATTGTTTTAATGAAATTAATTTGAACAATTCGTGTCTCAAGAAACATGAAACATACATTATGGTAGTAAAAGACTAAAACGAGTGTATAGAGAATGCTGACCATAATGGAACCATAAATTTTTATCAAATATAAGAAGACGAATTGGACAAGGTAGCATAATGTGCCTAGCATTCAATTTAAAGATAATTCATTTAATATCTGAAATATGATCTACCACTAATTGGTTTCTAAAGCAGCAAAGTTTCAGAGTTTATTGAATTTCCAGAACGTCTGTGTACCCTTGCGCGTTATCCGCAATCTACGAACAGCTTTGCGAATATTAACGTGATTCTAACTACGTTTGTACAATTTCAGTCGAAGCCACAGCCGCACAACAGGGATAGTAAACGTGCGCCGCGTGGGAAAGTGAAAACTTTTAAGAAATTCACAGACGGGAACGGTAGTTTATCGTTCACCGTGTCGACGCACTCGTTAATTCCAAACACTTTTCCATTTCCCTCGTACCGACCAATTACAGAAAAATAGAAACCCAGCTTTAAAAATTCTTCTCAAAATTTTATTTTTATTTTTTTTATTTCTCCGTTAAGAGTGAAAGGTAATACTATATAACATACAGTAGGTCCCATATAATTGTCTAGAGCCAATTATTTTTAAAACTATTCAATATACAGAAAAGTTCATGCAGATATGTATACATGAATTCGAGAGAAAATCATTATATTGGATTTAAATATTTCATAGTGTCTCATAAGGCACACGATGTTACTGAAACATGTTTAAAATTTTTCTAACAGTATTGGAATATTTTAAGAAATATTTCTGAAATATTGCAGGAATTACGTTTGCCATTTACAATATTTCTAAGGCGTTATAATATTTCAAACAGATTACGATAACATCCGAGCAAAAGAGACATACAATTATTTATCATTGCATTTATCACACTCACCTTATTTTATTGCAATTGGTCCTAAGGTGATTCTACATACAGAGATGTTAGCACTTAGCACATGGCTTTTAGACCCATAACCTATTAACGCGACAGAAAGTAATGATTTCGTTGAGTCAAACGAAATTAACCAAAATTTCACAGAAATCATACATGCTTTTACAAACAAACATTATTATCACACTATGCGTGAATTTAACTGTTTAAATATTCACATTACAAAAGAAAAGTATCTACGCATTTTTTTTAGCGTACGTTCCACGTTGAGTGGACTTTCGCGACACGCGCATGCGCGCCCGGGCTCAGTTACCCACTCTCGCGCATGCCTCGCGCGCATGTCCTTTCCCCAAAATAAGGCGGCAATTATAAACATTTATTTCACGCGAGATGAGACAATGTATTATAGAATTTGTTCGTATAATGCTTTCGAAAACATTTATCTTAAACATTCATCAACTACACGTGCAGTAAGATACGACTTTGACGTCAGTATAAGTAGAAAAACAATTTAGAAAAAAAAGTTTACTCTACATTTTCCACTTATTTTTCCATGTCGAATTACACATTGTCCGATTGTAATACAGATTCGAATGTGACTTTTAGAAATGCATCGAAATGCAACCCTAACGTAAATAATTAACAAATACGTGTCAAAGTTTTTTTTTTATATTTTCCACGTATGACCCCCCAGTAGTACAGTCCTCTGTAGGATCATGTGACCCCCCAGGGGAGAACGAAACGTTACTCTGGGCAGTTACGAACGAAAAATATTACTTGTTGCACACATTCCACGATTTCTGCCTCGATACGTACCCTCGTCGTCTCCGTGTAGAAATTTAATTTCGACCCACGTCGTTTCACACGCACCAGGTTCCGCGTAGCCCGCAACGGAGGCCGAATGGTAGTTTCGAATCGATTAGCCGGTACCGGGGGTATCGCCAACAGAGAAAGTCAGCGACGCTGCCAGTCGGTGATACAGTGATACAATAATATCTTGCGAATACCGGCGTAGGAAAATTAATGGCCACTAAACAGAGGTAACTATCTTAAGGCTCGGTCGGCGTTTGTATTACTTTATAGTTGGCGTCCGCTGGGTTTACGAGCGTCAGCCTGTGTACTGGATGCAATTGTAGTTTCTCCGACACGGCGAGCCCGCGAGGCGTAGGCAACGAGCGAACGCAGAAGCAAAGACAAGGGATATAACCGGAGGGGCGGTCGCCGCGGTGCAAATAGCCATCGTGTCTCTACAGTTAGGCCTCTAATGGCATTGGCTAATAACGCCGCGAGAACGGTTCCCAAACGAGTCCGGAACGTCTTCGCGAAAGACGCCTCGGCTACCTTGGCAGCTTGCTCTTTGCTCTCGTCCGGCGTGTCCATTGACGCGAGGCCGTTTGATTTTTTTTTCTTTTCTTTTCATTATCGCGGCGAGAACCTGTCAAGGTCGAATGTCAACGAACCCATCACCTATTTACTTTTTGCTCGCTCCTTTGCGGTCCGATCCCGCCGCGTCGATTCACCGTGAACGCGACGCGCTGGGGGGAAAAAAATGGAGGGAGAGAGAAAAAACGAACGGGGCGACGAATAAGAAATCGCGCGGGATCTCTGTCGGGAGGAAATCACTTTGAAACGAGGATAATCGACCATCTCGCGTAATTAAATTCGTCAATCCGTCATCGAGCCCGGTGCCCGACTTAACGACACCCGGTTAACCGACGACCAACAGTCCACCTCGCTGCTCGATCGTTCGACTGAATCTTACGAGCCGAGACTAACTTGGGCAAATTGAATATCGCGCGCTCCTCGGCCCGATAGCGATCGCCTCCGAGTCTCTTCGGGTTAAATGACGTCCGTTGTTTGCACCGCGATGTCTG